CCCCAAAACCCCAAAACCCCACTATGAAAAATAAATTGCAGTCAGAGGTAATAAAGAAATTAAGATTATGTATTTACAGTCATATTTTCAAATGTCTTCTATTTATGTTGATCAAAATTCGACTTCGAATAAAATTTATTTCATTTGTTATTCTATTTTTTTAAGTTGTAGCCTTTGTATGTAAAGTAATCATCTGATTAATCAGTCCTAATCTCTCCAGAATCCTTCATTTTATCAAGAATTTTATCCAAAGTGGGTTTTCTATTCTCAGCATGATAAACTGCCCCATTATGTTTTTCTCTCTAAATTTTATCTTAAAGCTCTTTAAACTATTTCTCATCTAGATGGAATTTTCCTAGTATTTTTGTCTAATCTGATTCACTAATTTTGCTCTAATTAAGTAGGAAATTTTCTACTTTTCCAACTAATCCCTCTCCAAACTTACTGTCCAGCTATTTTTACATCTTAACTTTTTCTATTTTGAATTGTTTGAAATCTAAAATATAAGGCTATAGCAACTCATCAGAATAGCCTGCAAATACATAGCATCTTCTTTGATCTATTGTACTTGTAGGATAGTAAATTTTACCTAATTTTTTAATTATATTTTGCTAAGGATTCCTATTAATTTCTAAGGAGATGTCTAGCAATTGAGCTTTTGAGATGTATTGCTCATTATTGGTTTATCCCCCAAATAAGAGCAATTTATACTCATCTTAGTCTGAATTTCCTTGAAGAATAATAGCCTAGAAATCATGCATAGGCATTGGTAGTCTTAGTTCAAGCAATAGCCATTAATCAAACTCTAAATCATATCTCTCAATACTATCTAGTGAACCATCTTTTTTACTATTTCCTCCAAGAGCAAATATAAATTTCAAATGTTTCAATAGCAAAGTTGCTGAACCATTCCTAGGCTTATTCATTGGAGCAATTTCTCTCCAAATGTTTTCATACAAAGAATATTTTTCGCATGTTGCTAAATCATTTATACCATCATATCCACCGATTGAATATATTTAACAATCTATCTAAGAGTAAAGACTACTAAAGAAAGCTCTTTTGCGTAGCATAGGACATTTCTCATAAAATACCTTATATTTCTTAAACCACAAACATCTTTTGGAATAATTATCAGAAGAATCAAGCCCCCCGAGTATGAACGTTCCCAGTTATTTAGGAAGGAAAACTATTGATGAGAAAAAAAGAAAAGGCTCCTTTGGCATCATCTCTTAGATATAGCACCATTTATTAATTGCTGCATCAAAAAAGTAGACATCTTTCGTATTCCATTTGAACTAGAAAATCATCTGAGAATCTTAAGGATCTTTATGATTGTAAAATCTTTAAACACCATAATTTACATTAGCAATGCTGCTTACTTTAAATGTGCCTATTCTTGTTATTGAATCTCTGAGTTTGTCAGTATTGACTTCGAAGGAAGGGAATTCAAACTTAGCTAGTTTAATCATTTGCATCTTTTGGTTAATATCTCTAAATTTTAAAGGATACTCTTATTTCAAGAAGAAATCTATTTTTTCTTTTTCATCATCCATCATTTTATCAGCCAATAAGAAGTCTCTATTCTTGGTTTAAACATCGTCTAAACCAATAATAAGATTATCAAGTTACTGCATGCAACCATCAATATGGTTGATGGTCTTGTCAATATGGTTATCATATTACTTTTATAGCTCTCTCATTCTTTCGTCAAGTGCTTCATGTAACTCTATAAATGCCCTAATTAGATTTTTGAACTCCTCTTCTCTTTCATCTAATAGCTCTATTTTTACTTTATGAAGCAGCTACTTCTAGTAAATGAGATCGTTTCCTTATGCAGCACATCTTAAATTAATTTATCTAATTTCTTTCTTAAAATGACTCATCTCCATATCAATTTCTCTTCTGATATTATCAAGAGACTTAAAAGCAAATGCCTTATCATCAAATTCATGATTGGATATTATGTGTCTCCTAATCTGATTATCATTAGATTAAGCATACTTAAGATAATTTCTGGATTTACTTGAAATATCAGGTAGGGATGTATCTATAAATTGAATAGCGGATTTATTTGCACTATTCTTAATATATGACCCAACATCTATTCTTTTCATTTGATCTTATTGATTTTGCTAAAACATTGATAGGTTTTTAGACAAGGATGAACTCAGAGTTCTTTTTAATGAATTCTATTATTACTATTAGTGCAATTAATCTTAATCAACTTACTGCTGCTGTTGCTGTTCAATAATTGAAGTTTAATCAATTGTAGAATGAGAGTCTTATTGAATTTACTTCTTTGCTAATTTTTGATCTCTCAGAAATTCAGCCAATTTTGATATCTGTTTTTGAGGCTGAGGCTGCTATGATTATTCTTAAGTTTTATTAATGCTTTCTTGTTGTTCATTCCCTAATTAAGGTGAAGGATTTGACATCTAGGGGACTAATTTATTCTTATATTTTTCATGCTAGAGTAACTCTAGTAGCCTTTTTTAAATCATTTGCTAAGGATTTGTACTCTATGCTAGTTTTGCAGTTCCCATTTCTTCGATTATTTTATTTGTCAAAAGTTATAAAGTCGATCTAGTTGGCTACTAGACTGAAGAATCAATGGAGATCTAATTTTAGGAAGATTAATGATTATTTGAATCTCTTGATTCTGATATGAATCTCTGATCTGTTAATGATTATAACTACTGCCTTAGAATTTTACTTAATTAAGTTTCAGATGGTTGGATTTCAATTGACTAGTATTATTTTGGCACAGTTGGAGGCAGCTACTTTTTTTATTTCTTCTTTTTTTTCTTAACTTTTTTACCTCCAATATCTAAATAAGTAATCTCAACAAAGGATCCCTCGATTTCTTTGGACAAGTTATTCTAATCATATGATCCAAAATTATCATATTAAGAGTTAATTTAAGTCTAATTTTTCCTAGGAAGCAAAAGTCCATTTTCTTGATGCGAATGTAATTGCATTCCGTTACGCAAATGTACATTGAGTTTATTGGCAATATTTGAATTTAGATTTGATGGGGTATTTTGATGACTCTTATCCCTACTCAGTTCTAGTTTTGTTTCTTCCATACTCTTTTCAGCAATAGAATCTAAGGTAGGAATATATAGATGCCTTCTTTCGTCGTTAGAATCATCATTATTTTGATCATCATTTCCTTCTTAATCATTTTAATTTTGTCTATTGTTTTCTTTGTATCTGTTATTATGATCATTTGATTACCTTTCTTGAGATTTTTTGTCATTTAATTTTTCTTTTTCATTTGAATTACCACTCTTTTTCTTTTTCAACTCAGGTATCACATTTATTTAGTACTTAAAAGACTACTGCTCTCTAAAATTAGAATTCCTGTCACTAGACCCACTTTTGCCAGTTGAAATTTTTTGTCTGGTATTGCTTCTAAGCTGCCTGGATTAACTTGAGTTTGATGACATGGAATCTTGATCTATAAATGAATTAATATGTCTGATGCTGCCCACTGGAGATTAAGCCACACTATTTTTCCCAAAAATTTTATGAGACTACAGCTTAGAGTTGGATGATTTGTAACGACTATTCTTTTTGTCTTTTTGCTCTTCTTATGGGCTCGTCATCATATGCAGACTTTCAAAATATAGAGATCTATCTCCACTAATTGATGATTGATCAGTCTTTATATTACTATTCTTGATAGGAAGCTTCATATCTGATGATTAAGACTGCAGTTAGTTGTTAGAGCCAATTCTATTTTTTGATAAACCTCTCTTTGGCTTCAATTCTTGCATCTTCACATTAGATGATGTTCTCTGCTTGTTGTACTTATCTTTATTTTTGTTAGGTCTTAATGAATTCATCTACAGAATTTAATCGACAGCTTTTGTTGAAGATTTTCTAAGGCCCTTAATACTCGCTAGCTAAGGACTCTTTTATTATGAAAGATCAGGCTTTTATTATTCATTTTCTGCCTCCTTATTCTCCATGCCGGTCTTTTTCTTAGAGAACAAATTAGTTATTTTACTAAATAAGCCTCCACTGCTTGAATTTGCAGGACTTGGCTGATCATTTTTTTAAGGTGATATGGACTTACTCATTGTTTTAACTAATTATTTAATGAAGTTATTTGATTTGGAAATCGCAAAATTTTCCAGAAATAACTAGAATTTAAGGCTTAGGGGTTTTGGGGTTTTGGGG